CCCCAAATCTACCAGCTCGGTAACCTTGTCGAGGAGGAGGCTTGCAACTCGAAACAGCTAACAGAGAACTTGGCGCCGCGTCGCGCCGCCTACCTAGCATGACAGGCCGCAACCCTTGATTGGGAAGGTAGTGTTGGTACTTGGAACGCACGAGGCTGGGTGTGGAGACCGCTATAGGTACAAATGAAGGTGTCTGAGCCTTGCTTACATCGGGAGAAGGCATGGAAGCACAGACCCAGTATTCGGAGTTAGAAGTTAGAAGGAGTTTCATGGCGGGAAAGCAGCGAGGAACGTAGGGAGCCGGGCTAAAATGGAAAACCATTCTCCGCCACACGCAGTGGGTCAGACGGCTGCAAGCGGATTTCTCTTACTCGGGATTGTTCTAGCTGCAACGGCGCAATTTGCTCATGGCACTCGCTGGGCAGAAGTGGGAGTGGATGAAAAGTGCGTGTGCCACGGTTGAACCTTGGAAGTGATTTAGAGGGATTTTGAGACCACAACGTGCTCGGATAGGGGCAACCCCGTGCCGACTGAGGGCTTGGTATGCCTACATTGGAACCAGCGCAATGCCTTTTGGTCGCACATTGAATTACCTGCACACCGTTGTTACCCGCAGCGGCGTGACATAGAAGATATTGTCGACTGAGACATGGTGAGTTTAACCTGAATTCAGTTGCAGGTGCTGCTGCTGCTATGACTGGCCGCTCGAAGCAACAACGGAAGCGGGAGAGGGAGGAGAAGTATTGTGCCAGGGCGTGGGTATACACGCGAAAGCGTACACGCACCCATGGATTTGAGATCACAACGTGCAAGGATTAGTTTCAACCTCGTGCCGACTGAGGGCTTGGTATGCCTACATTGGCACCAGTGCAAAGCCTTTTGGTCGCACATTACCTAGAGACTGTAATAGTTGCCCGCAGTGGCATGACTAGAAGATATTGTTGAATGAGACATGGTGAGTTTAACCTGAATGCAGTTGCAGTTGCAGGCGCTGCTGCTATGACTGGCCGCTCGAAGCGGCAACAGAAGCGGGAGAGGGAGCAGAAGTATTGGGACAGGGTGTGGGCACATGCGAAAGCGTACACGCACCCATGGATTCGTTACAGGAAGAAGGCGTATACGGCATACTTCGATGCCGTGTTGAGTGCCTTCGTTGAGCAGTGGGAGGGCCGTGGCGACGCAGTGCTCACAGGGCAGAAGCCTGGCTCCAGGCGCAGCTGACAGTTGTAGGAAAGTCGCTTGCGGCCTAGCGAAATGCGCTTACCGATGCATGTCGGCACCGTGTTGGCTGTGTGCAGGAAGAAGCCGGAGGGGAAGTTGCGAGTCGAGGTGGCAGAGAATCGCCGGGAGAGGGAGACGCCGTGGCCCCAGCCTGTAATGGACAACATGCTGGGACGGCCTTGCTGGACGTGCGCTCAGGTGCGATGATGCCGCGCCGGCAGTGGCACAGCGCCCTGCGAGCCAGAACGGCCAGCCTATGAACAGTACCGGGCTGGTATTGGAGACAGATTGGTGCGCCTTGCGCTGCAGTACGCTTGAGATGATTCAAGACAAGACGTTATCGTCGTTGTTGTGTGTGTGTGTGTAGGAGGACGGGTGTAGAACTGAGTCGACTGCCGCATGCCTCCAATGAGGCAATGTTCGACGTTGGGGCTTGAGCTTGCGGCAGCACAAAGACCATCTGCGAGAGCCAGGGCCCCGAGAGGTTGCGAGCCCTGAGATTGCACACGCGCCGTGAGTTGGGCCGTGCGCCTCGGATTGCTGAGGTTGAAAGCCCGTGAGGCTGAGTCGGTGAGGTGCGTGAATGTCTGCCTGGTGGACGCGCTGCGCGCACTAGGCTTCAAGGTGCCATACGCCAGATCGGGCCCCTTCTGGGCGGTGGAGGATGGGAATGCGTTCTTGCAGCCGTGGCAGTGCTTGGGCTTGATTTGGCAGTTTGCGTGCAAGTAGGCGCGCGTGATACCAGGGATATATATAAATACATATATACACGCATTGATTGCCGTGAAAGTAGATGCTGGAAAAAAGACAGAGGCTTTCCCACCATCAGGCCACGAGATTGGAAGTTTGCGCTGTTTACCCTGATACCTTGCAAGGAAGCATTTAGTTGCAGAGTTCCACCCGCGATGGGGCCGTGGAAAGTATATTCTGCATTGTCCGAAGCGCGAGCATTTCTTCGCGGCGGAGGTTTTCGCGGACGGGAGTGCGGCATTTTGGACAGGGCGCAAGCGACACGTCCGGTGGGACGTGTCAGTGGCACTGCTGGAGCGCTTCGCGCGGGATTGGGCAACCTTTCGGATTCAGCAAGCCCCTGCAGGCTTGGAAGTGATGCCCTCTGATTGCTTAGGTGGTGCGACAAAGGGCGCAGAGCTGGCTGGAGTGATTTCTTGTGTGGAGAGCTCGTGCCCGATACCCTTTGCAGAATTGTGTGCCATCCGGGCAACCTGTGGATGTTTGATAGCAGCACTGGGAAATTTAGAGGAACGCTATGCACTGCTCCGAAAGCAAATCTTGGGGCAACTCCGGCGGGCATTGAATGGGCGCGTCCTGCCCCCTCGGTTTACGCAGAGAACTGTGCCGCGGCTCACTTGGGACCTGTACTTTTGCAGATCCTTGGAAGCCTCGCATTTTCCACCGGCGCCATTCTACGGAGAGGGGGTTGATGGCAATGGCTCGTTTGGTCGCGCGTGGCAATGGCGCAATGAGCAGGACAAAGGCGTGCTGGATGCGATGAGGGCGCGAGCTGTGCAGGAAAGACACTATTCCCAGATGTGGTCAGCGGAAGCGGGTGACGCCTGGTGGCGTCAGTCGGCGAGGGTGGTCCAGCTCTTGTTCGGGCCTGTACGGGTGTTTCTGATCTTTGAGGAACTTTGCAAGGTTGATGACGCAGGCAAGGCTGGCCACCACAAGAAGCGGGTTACATCATTTTACATCACGCACAAAGGTGGACACATATAGGGTGGGTATAATAGCTCAGACTGGTCAGGAATCGCTGATGCGCATGTCGCGGCTGCTCGCAGGCCCACCGGGAGATCATGCCGAAGAGTACAGCGAGCAGGTGTTGCAACGCTTGGGCCTCAGGTTGTTTCATGTTTACCCGTGTGAGCAGATCACAAGACGTCAAAGTCTGTAAGTTCTAGCAACGTTGGAGGCTTTCGCCGCTCTTCGGATGCACTTGGCGGGGCAGGCAATGGAGGACGAGTAGCTGGTGATGTGGCAAGGGGGAAGGGCGCACCGAAGGAGAACGCTTTTGGACGCGATGGTGAGTCAGGAGACTGGAGGGGCTGAGGGCGGAGGGAGGATGCAGAGTGGTGCGTTGCGGTGGTAGGGGGCCGAAACTAAACCCTGCTAGGACCTCAATGTGCATTGCTTATTCACCCGGAGTGGTGCGAAAAAATTCTCCATGGCCGAAAGCGTTGGGAAATCCGTGGGACCTCATGCAAAAAGCGTGAGCGTGTGTGCATTGCAGCAGCCGGGACGGGCACCTTAGTGGGCGAGGCGACCGTCGTGGATTGCTTGCAGGTTGGCGCCAAAAATGACCGTGGCGAGTGGACTTGCTGGGGTTCGCCTGAAAATTTCTTGTGGCTTCAGGAGAACCACAGCAAACACCAAATCTACGACAGGAATTTGGTGCAGCAGTACTCTAAGCTGTACGCTTGGGTACTTGACCATGTGGAGCCATACAACACTCCACGACCATACCCCCACCCTGCAGGTTGTCGAACGTGGGTGCGCTTAGTGCCTCCTCAACCCAGTGGGCCTGCCAAAGAGTGGCCGCGCCCAGCAGATGTGGCAGTCTTTGAAGCACAGGACGGCTTTGCGCCGGAGGTAGGGGTGCTCGCAATGACAGAGGCTGAGGCTGCGACCTTGGGCTTGGAAAGCTGGAACAATCAATCGCGTATTTCAGCAAACACCGCTGGTGATGGAGCGTGCGGACTCCACGCGGTATTTGGCGCACACAATGGGCAGGGACAGTTGGAATGGCAAGAGCGTGACGGACGGAAACTGGTCGCAGCCGGCCTGGAGCAGGTTGTTCTGTCCGAAGCAGCGGAGCAGTACCAAGCCGTGCAAACTGCATTGTGGTACGAACTAGCTGTGCCAAACTTTGGGGAAGATGTGCCTTCCACCGCAGAGAGCAAGATATTCTGGAAGCATGTCCGGAGGGTCTGCCCAACGATGCCCGATCAGATTGCGGAGCAAGTGCAGAGGGCCGCAGACAGAAGACCCGCCACAGATGCATTGCAGTCAAAGCTGAATGAGCTGTGCCGTCGCTTTTTCTTTGAGGGTGTGGGCACTGAAGCTCTTTGCAATAGACTGGGTTTCGGAGTGGATGACAGGGAGGCAGCGTGCTATGAAAGTAGGGTTGCTGGGCAGATTGTGAAGGGTTCAGGCTTGGAGCGCCCCACCACCGCCGGCGAGCCCGAAACAAAGTGGCAAGCCGTTCACCATCCACATCCCAGGTATGATGCGCTTCGGAAGGCCGTTTTCTTGAATCAAAAAACAGAGGCCGCCGTGCAAGTGTTGCGGGAAGGCCACGAGGTGGAGCTGTGTCAAGAATTGGCCGATACCTTGTTGCAGCGCGCGGCATGTGGGAGCTGCGCAGTGGAGCCGCCTGCCTACTTTGCAGAACAGGTGTTGCCTGCCTATATAGCTGCAGTACAAGAGGCTGGGTATTACTTCAGCGCTGATGAGTTGGTTGCTGTGGCGCAGCATTGGGGGCGTGGCTTGGCTGTTGTCAAGCGGAACCATAGTGGCAGATTTGTCTTGTCTGCTTGCACGG